CCCTGCCTGGAACCCACTGTCAGCATTCTACTCTGCACGGAGCCTGCTTGAGATTCTCTCTCCCTTCCCCTCTGACCCACCCCCCTCCTTTCCTGTCTTAAAAGAAAAAAAAAAGTAAAGTGACTTAAATATAAACCTACAAGGTTTTCTTTGGCTTTCCTATGCTTTTTGATGAGTATACTGAAGGTTATTAGAAACTTCCTTTCCATTTTATAGTACAGTTGACTCTTGAACAACTTGGGAGTTAGGGGCACCAACCCCCCACCCCACAAAGTTGAAAATACACTTCTGGTTCCCCCAAACTTAACTACTAGTAGCCTGCAATTGACTGGAAGCCTTACCAGGAACATGAAGAGTTGATTAACACATGTTTTATATGTTATATGTACTGTATTCTCACAACAAAGTAAGTTAGAAGAAAGAAAATGCTCTGAAGAACATCATTAGGAGGAGAGACTACATTTACAATAGAGTACTGATTATTGAAAAACATCCACATATAAGTAAACCCATGCAGTTTGAACTTGTGTTGTTCAAGGTTTGACTACTACATTTTCTCCCAGTATTTTCTTCCATGCTTGCTTAACTGGTAAACAGGTGGCTAACAAGAATGGTAATTAGCTAAAAACAAAAAACAAGAAACCTTGGTACAAGAAAGGGAATGAAATTCCTCACCTTCAGTTTTTTTCCTCTTCCTTTTTTTCCTATGAAGATGTAGGAGGAGCAGATGAATGTTATATGCATAGTAGAAACTCCTATAGTAATTGGTTAAAAAGAATGTAACTTGAGATTTAGTGGTACATACTTTAGAAATTTTTAGGTGAAAATGTTTGATAAATCTATCTTTCAGGAATAAATCTGTCATTTCTGTAAACAGTAGTTGGGGGATTAGCTGGCAGAGATCCCAAATGCAGTTTGGTAGCATCCCTATATGGTTGTAAACAGCCATGTTCCTCCTTCTCTATCTTTAATTCCATTGCTAAAATGTCTCCCATAAAATAGTTAGGCTATTATTTCTCCACAGGGGGGATAAGACGCCAGAGCAGGAAGGATAAGTAGGATAGAACTGCCTTGGATTCAACAGTTAAAATTAGTTGGACAATTAGCATCCAAAAATATCCGTTGGAGGGCCAAAATCCAACTCATAATTCAAAATCAGAAAGAAGGAGGAGGAGAAGCAGAAGAAGCAGAAAAAGAAAAAGAGAAAAGAAAAGAAAAAAGAAAAAGAAAAACAAAACCCCAATCCAATTAAAAAATGTACAGAGGACTTGAATAGATATTTTTATTTTTCTCCAAAGAAGACGTACAGATAGCCAATAGGCACATGAAAAGATGCTCTCAACATAATTAACCACCATGGAAATACGAATCAAAGTCACAATGAGATACCATCTCACACTTGTCAGAATGGCTATTATCAAAAACATAAGAAATTACAAGTGTTGGAAGGATGTGGAAAAAAGGGAGTCCTTGTGCACTGTTGGTAGGAATGTAAATTGGTGTAGCCACTATAGAAAACATGTGGAAATTCCTCAAAAAACTACCATGTGATCCAGTAATTACACTTCTATTTATTCGAAGAAAAGAAAAAAAATCATAGACACATATGCACTCTTATGTTTACTGCAGCATTAGATTAATGGGTAAAGGAGATGTGGTATATATATTTACATTGAAATATTCATTCATAAAAAAATGAATCTTTGCCATTTGCAAACATGCATAGACCTTGATGGTATTATGCTAAGTGAAATAAGTCAGACAGAGAAAGACAAATACCAAATGATTTCATTTATATGTGAAACATAAAAACCAAAACAAATGAACATATGAACAAAACAGAAACAGACTCATAGATACAGAGAACAAACTGGTGGTTATCAGAAGGGACAAGGGTGGGGATGGACAAAATAAGTAAATGGAATTAAGAGGTACATATCCCAGTTAAAAAATAAGTAAGACATGGGGATGTAATGTACCGCATAGGAAATATAGTCAACAGGATTGTAACAACTTTGCATGACGACAGATGATAACTAAACTGTGTCAGGATCATTTTGTGATGTTTATAAATACCAAATCAGTACTTTGTACACCTGAAATGAATACAATCTTGTATGTCAATTATTCTTCAATAAAAAAAGAATCAGTTGAAGAAAGTTTTAAATTTCAAATCTGCATTCATCATCCTGCAGCTATCTTAATTGTTTTATGTATTTTTTAAAATCATTTTTCTTTTTTTAAATCATTACTTAAATTTAAGAACAAAATGGGAAACTCCTTGACTACTGGCTAAGACCACTGGTTTAGGGGGCAACAATGAAACTAGAAACCCTCTCTCCTCCCATTCTATTCTCTCCTCAACCTTTATTTTCTCTGTTTCAGAGACCCTGAGGACGAAGGTTTCTGAACAACCTCATGCTTTTTCTTCAGCTTTTCTTCTGCTTGGAACCAGCTTTCTCTCTTCTGTTTAAATTTCACTCATCTATTGAGAACCAGATGGATGGTCTTGCCCCCACCAGATCATTCTTGTCTACCTCAGCCTGAAATTCTCTTGTCCATATTTTGTTTTACATATTTTGCCTAGACCTAGTTGTTTTTTATCTGTGGTGCAGAATCATTTAGGTTTTAAGTGTTGGTGTGTTTTGCCTTATTGGCTGATTTGTAGAATCTCTGCAGCCAGGGACTAGTTCATGCTTTCTTGTTCTTTCACTATGTCTTGTGTGTTGTGGGCACTCAGTAAACAGTTATTGCTCAATGCGTGATGGTGCTCATGGGTGCTGAGGATCTATCACTTGGTCTGTTAGTAACTGGTCATGTCTGATATTTGTGAAATCTTTAATGGCCAAAGACTCTCTACAGTATAAAATGTTATGTTTTGTAGTAGATAGTGCTTTTTTTCTCCAATGTACTTTAAAAAGGAAAGTTATCCTAATTCATGAGCATGTTGCCTTCCAAAAGAACTTATCAAAATCTACCACCCCAAAAACAAATAATCCAGTCAAGAAACGGGCAGAAGAAATGAATAGACATTTCTCTAAAGAAGACATAAAAATGGCCAGCAGACACATGAAAAAAGGTTCCACATTACTTGTCATCATAGAAATACAAATCAAAACCACAATGAGATACCACCTCACACCAGTGAGAATGGGGAAAATTAACAAGACGGGAAACGACAAATGTTGGAGAGGATGCGGAGAAAAGGGAACCCTCCTACACTGTTGATGGGAATGTGAACTGGTGCAGCCACTCTGGAAAACTGTGTGGAGGTTCCTCAAAGAGTTAAAAATACACCTGCCCTACGACCCAGCAATTGCACTGCTGGGGATTTACCCCAAAGATTCAGATGCAATGAAACGCCGGGACACCTGCACCCCGATGTTTCTAGCAGCCATGTCCACAGTAGCCAAACTGTGGAAGGAGCCTCGGTGTCCATTGAGAGATGAATGGATAAAGAAGATGTGGTCTATGTATACAATGGAATATTCCTCAGCCATTAGAAATGACAAATACCCACCATTTGCTTCAACGTGGAACTGGAGGGTATTATGCTGAGTGAAGTAAGTCAATCGGAGAAGGACAATCGTCATATGGTTCCACTCATACAGAGAATGTAAGAAACAGGGCAGAGGATCACAGGGAAAGGGAGAGAAAACTGACTGGGAAGTCATCAGAGAGGGAGAAAATCCATGAGAGATTCTTAACTATAGGAAACAAACAGGGTTGTTAGAGGGGAGGTGGGTGGGAGAATGGGGTAACTGGCATTAAGAAGGGCACATGATGTGATGAGCACTGAGCATGTGATGCGATGTGATACACAACTGATAAATTGTTGAACACTACATCTGAAACTAATATACCACATGTTGGCAATTGAATTTAAATTTAAGAAATATGCATGTAAATGGTATCTTGCAAATTTCTGTATGCAGAATGGAGATACTGGGCCAACAAGGGGAGGGAGTGGAGACAGCCTGTCATCCTAAAGCTCACTTAGTGTCTGCTGCTAGCTCTCTATGTGACCCCCATACTAAAACATCAGGCTTTCATTTTTGCGCGTTCTGTACTGACCAGAGCTCTGAGAAGTACCACAGAGGTGTGCTTGCCCCTCACACAGAAGCAAGGGTGGCCCACCTTTGGCCTCTACCTGTGTCTGATTCAGGCGCTCTGGTTAGTGAGATGCTAGTCAAAGCTCCACACCTGGCTGAAGACGAATGTCTCCAATCATTATACATCCTTAAGTGATTCCCCTTTCAAAATAAAAGACACCATGAAAAGAACACAACACATAATGAAACAATTTTCAAGTGAAAATAATTTCCTGGTCCCACAAGGCAGTAGACTTCAATTAAATAAAATCTGTTTATTTGTTCCAGACTTATTTGAGAAAGAAGTGACTGTATTTTCTAATACATATTCAGTCTTTCTATGAACATAAGGAACATCAGTTACAATAAATTAGATAATTAATTGGTTGCTTCTCTTCTCCTTCACCTCCCCTTCCAGTCTTCTCTTTCTTTTTCTCCTCTCTTCTTTTTTAAAATTTCTGGCCCTGGCATAAGGTAAGAGCTTGCTAAATGTGAGTGATATAATTTGTAACCAGGAAAGTAAACAGTAAATAACGACCACTTAAACTCAGGTTAACATTCTATGAACTTGAAAATAAAGTTTAAGGCAAATAAATCAGAAAGATCATAACTAATATTTTAGCATAAATTAAATCTCTTCCTTGAGTCTTCTATATTTTTCTATGAAAATTTATATAAAATATAGACTATTTTATGCATTATGTACTGCATTATGTATCTTTTTTAAAAAGATTTTATTTATTTATGCATGAGAGACACAGGCAGAGGGAGAAGCAGGCAGGACTCGATCCCAGGACCCTGGGATCACGCCCTGAGGCAAAGGCAGATGCTCAACTGCTGAGCCACCCAGGTGCCCCCTATATTATATATCTGACAAAGTTTCATGTGTCCTTTCTTTTTCTGAAGGAAATATGGGATTGCTCTTCATATGGAAATGGATCTTGCCCAGGATATCAAAATGGATTTTGGACAACCACTGGGTGTCCAAGCTGCTATGTTTTCATTTATGGCAGGAGCCATATTCATCATGGTGTTTGGCAATCTTGCCATAATCATTTCCATTTCCTACTTCAGGATGCTTCACACACCAACCACCTTCCTCATCCTCTCCATGGTAGTCACTGATTTCCTCCTGGGACTCACCAATCATGCCCTATAGAATTGTCAGATCGGTGGAGACTTGCTGGTATTTCGGGCTTACATTTTGCGAGATTCATTACAGTTTTGACCTGATGCTTGGCATACCATCCATTTTTTATCTTTGCTCTGTGGCCATTGATAGATTTTATGCTATCTGTTACCCTCTATGTTATTCTACAAAAATGATGATTTCCCTCACTAAGCGGTTGCTACTTCTCTGCTGGTCCGTCCCCCAAGCACTTGCTTTCTGGGTGGTCTTCTCAGAGGCCTACGCCGATGGTATAGAAGGCTATGATATCTTGGTGGCTTGTTCCAGTTCCTGCCCAGTGATGTTCAACAAGCTATGGGGAACCACCTTGTTGATGGCAGGTTTCTTCACTCCTGGGTCTGTGATGGTGGGGATTTATGGCAAGATTTTTGCAGTATCAAGAAAACATGCTCATGCAATCAATAACTTGCCAGAAAATCAAAATAATCAAATGAGGAAAGACAAAAAAGTGGCCAAAACTTTAGGAATAGTGATGGGTGTTTTCTTATTATGTTGGTTTCCCTGTTTCTTCACAATTTTATTGGATCCATTTCTGGACTTCTCTACTCCCATGGTTTTGTCTGATGCTTTGATACGGTTTGGCTATTTTAACTCCACATGTAATCCCTTAATATATCGTTTCTTCTATCCCTGGTTTTGAAGAGAACTGAAGTACATTTTACCAGGTAAAATTTTCAGCTCACATTTCCATAATACTAATTTGTTTACTCAAAAAGAAACCGAATAGACTTCTGTATGAATGAATTGAAGAAAAAAACCTAGAACTTAGAAAGTCACTTAAAGTGTGTGTATGTGTGTGTGTCTGTCTGCTTTTGGCTACCATGTCAAGCTTTTCATTTCTAAGACTTGAGGAAAAAATAGGAATTTTCTCTTTGAACTCCAAATCCCTCTTATTCAGAATACATGATACACCCACTACTTTTAGGTATAATAAAAAAGAAGAAAGAAAGATAAAGAGAAGATGAGGAAAAGTCTGGAATGGTGTGAAGAGAACACACAGGACTTTTATACCAGTTGGAAGGGATCAGGGCACAAGCTGAGCTTAATGACTGCTGCCCCCTCCTACCAGCACCAGCACTTTGTGTGATATTTCTATTCGCTTTTTGTTCCTTGGCACCTGACCAGATATATTTTGAAACATCAACTAATAATCACAGATAAATGAATATAGAAATAATTTAAAAATTGCATAATCTGTCAGAAACCAATCATTGGTTAGCAGAGAGTTAAAGCTTTACTAGATTTTACTGTGGTGAGGTTAAAGTTTTCTTTAAAAAAAATAAGGGCAGCCACACATTAAAGACCACAGATTTCGTGCATGTATCATCTTAACCACAGCTGCTGGCAGTTTTCTGTTTATTTGCAGGAGACTTCTACTCTGTGTTTGCTTCCTCCCTGAGACTCATCCACATTTTGTGGATTGGTGTTCTGATTTATTTATTTATTTTAAGAGAGAGAACACACGTGCAAGTGGGGGTTAGGGTAGAGGGAGAGAGAGAGTGCCAGGCAGACTCCATGCTTGGTGTGGAGCCCCACTCATGTCTGGATCTCACAACTCTGAGATCATGACCTGAGCTGAAACCAAGAGTCAGACACCAAAGGACTAAGCCATCTGGGTACTCCTGTATTCTGATTTTTAATAAATGTAAATATATACCAAAAAGTTGTGTTTTGTTTGTTTGCCTTAATATTTATGCATACATGTTTGAATCATAGAGTGGTAGGAGGAGAAAGCTAAAAAGAAAACTAATATTTATGGTGTGGTGGGCTCTAGGTACTGGAAACTATATATTTGTTAATTCAGTGTCCTTTTAACTGTAAACTAAGATCCATAAATAACTTGTGAAATGAAGTTAGTGGTCTGCAACTGGTGGTGTGCTGCTAAGTATTTAACACCCGGCCCTGAAAACAAAGAAAGAAAAACAAAGAAAGAGAAAGCTTTGATTTGTAGAATTTGACAATTTTTCTTTCTTTCTTCATATATATATATCAAGAAAATTGTCAAATATATATATATATACATACAAATATAAAAATATATTTTATATATATTGCCCTTTACATTATTTCATGAAACTGATTCATATATATATATATATACACACACACACACACACACACACACATATATATGCCTACATTTAGCTGATTTAGCTAAATACATTTAGCTGGTTTTAAGTTATGATTGTAAGATCACCTGGCTTTCAGAATTCCTGAAAATTTAACCTGTTTTTGTCAGTGGATATGAGTGGTGCCAGTACACCACTGGCTGCAAATGACATTTTTCATGAAAAGCAAAGAACAGAAGAAAATAGATCTCAGAATACATCACTTATATTAAGGGTAAATATTACCTTACAACATTTTAATTTTAGTTAGTGTGTGTGTTAACTGCATTCCACTAAAATTTTTTTGGTTAATTTCTTTACACTATATCAATGAACAGATTAGCAATTTTTCTTCTTTGTGGAAGTTTACATAACTGCCTGTAAGTCTGCTTTGATCTTACTTAATTGCACAAATCACAAACAGTGACCATTCAGCCATCAGCTGAAATAGTTTTGCCCACCTGCCCAAAGATAGCCCTGACGCTTATGGTCTAGACCTTCCACCCTTGCTAGCCTGCCGATAGGTTGGTCCCTCCCTATATCCTTAACTGGAGGAAAAATGGCAGAGATCCTTTGAGATGGTGAAAGAAATTGCAAGTACAAAATAAATGGAAACAATAATTTTCCAAGAAGAGAGTAATTAAAGCCATATGCAGTTATGAAAGCTAATATGGTGTGTTGGATGCTATTGAGTCTATTTGGTAATTCTTTTTAATGAAATACTGATGTTTATGCTGTTTGGTATTTGAACACACACATGCACACAGATGTCCCTATCTTTATTATTTCTTTTTATTTTAAAAGACCAATTGCTAAAAAAAATAAGTAAAATAGATTTTAGTTTTATTGTAAAGTAGAATCTTTTTTTTTTAAGAATCTTTTTTTTTTTAAAGATTTTTATTTATTTATTCATGAGAGACACACACACAGAGGCAAAGACACAGGCAGAGGGAGAAGCAGGCTCCATGCAGGGAGCCTGACGTGGGACTCGATTCTGGGTCTCCAGGATCAGGCCCTGGGCCGAAGGCAGCACCAAACTGCTGAGACACCTGGGCTGCCCAAAGTAGAATCATTTTGAATTAATACTTATTAAATTTTCTCCCAATTCTTTGACATATGACTTTAGAAAATAAAACTAAATATCTTGGTGTAAGTTTGTTGACATTTGTTGAAGAGGTTTAGACATTCTTTTCTTTCTTTCTTTCCTTTTTTTTTTTTTTTTTTTAACAGAAGGATAATGTTTGTGATGGTGGTTGATGTTTATGCTGGTGCCTACAGATGCCAAAAATTTGGCAGCCCAGGGGTGCCTGGGTGGCTCAGTGGTTGAGCGTCTGCTTTTCGCCCAGGGCGTGATCCCAGGGTGCTGGGATTGAGTCCCTCATTGGGTTCCCTGCAGGGAGCCTGCTTCTCCCTCTGCCTGTGTCTCTGCCTCTCTATGTGTGTCTCTCATAAATAAAGTCTTTAAAAAAATTGTTAGCTCTATGTGCACCATAAAGTTTTTTACGCTTCTTTTCTTTTTGTTAGATATCCTATCCATATTTTAAAAACATCAAATAGTCCCTCCATAAAGTTCTGCTCAGTTAGTCCCCTTTCATTGAAACAGGTCATTTTTTCTATAGGTTTTCATGGCACTTTTTGGTTTCAGAATATAGTCATCCTGACTTGTTTGCTAGTGAAGGAAGTAATACATCTTCCTATATACTGTCTGGCTTTCATCATTTCCCAGATTTAGTAAAGTGGTCTCCGTTCCACAACCAGGATTTTTAAGGAATTTGCAAATGAGAAAACTGAGCCCAGACATATTAAATGATCTGTCCTGGATTATACAGACGATTATAAAAACGGAACTAGAACCTGGCTCTTCTTACGCAGTGTTCTTTGTCCACTGAACTGATTTTTTTCAAGATTTGTGACACTTTAATTTGCTTTTCTTACTAAGGATTTTAGTCAAATTGATATAAATCACTAAAGCAAAAATAAATACTTCCCTCTTCCACCAATATCTTATTACATTCAGGAGTCAAGGTCTAAACAGCAATCTTTTCTAAATCAGACAATTGTCCCTCCTTTGGATATCAGCCAATGTTTAATTTAGCCTACACATATCTGTGTATTTTTAATATATAGAAGGATACCTTATCTTTGGTACCTTATCCTCCCAGAATGAAGCCAAAATTCCCATGAAACTGATATAAAATTGTCCTTCATTTGGGAAAAAAAAACAAACTGAGAAGTACTTGGGACATTAAAAATACACAGAATATTTCAATATCCTCCAGGAAAGAGACTTAGAAGGGCAATTACACTGGGGCTCTGCACTTTACTCCTCTGTTGGAGCTCCTGGATCTGAGTTCCCCACTTCAGGTCTCTTGAGAGCAGAGGCAAACTTATATGAATCAGATATTTCAGTCCTTAACACTGCACTTCCTTGAACTTCCTGACATCACACCTGTAAAGCCACCATAAGAGATTCAATGGTTCCCAACTAACTTTTCAGAAAAGGGAAGGTACTGGGTCAATTTAAAAAATTGGAAATGTACTATCCCTTTTTTTTAAAAAAAAAAAAAGCCAATTTACTCTCTTTTACAAAATAGTTGGACCAGGTCACTAAATTTCATAGAAAACCAGAAATTGTTGCAGTAGAGAATGTAGGATTTTTTCCCTAACTGGAAAATGATTATTATGAAATTTAAGTGAAAGAAACTTTGTAAATTTTCCATCAAACTTTGTTTGGCAAGGTTTGTAAATTTCTATGTGGTGGCATATAAAACATGTTTTTATAAAATTCAAGAACTATGCCAAACACGATTTAATAAATATAAGGTACTTACATGTCTCAATAATGCTAAATTGTACTCTCCTCTTTAATATTATAATTTAATAAACAATTCTTGTTATATACTACTTAATTCACTACATATTTCAATTTTGGTATTTTTCTCTTGCCAGCGGCATTGACTTAAGGTATTCAGCTGTTCTTTGCTGCTCAAAATTATTTACAAAGAGCGTCCAAACAAAAAATGCAGTTTCTTTATTGTCTAGAATTGTTCTTCTGGAATTCATTGAACATACAAATAACATAGGTATCTTGCTAAGAAGTGCACTTTGGGATGGCTTAAGATTTTTCATTTCCCAAAACATTCCTGGGAGATGACAATGTGGCTGTTCTATGGAACATGCTTTGATGAGCAAGGCCGATTGGGAGAAATGATAAGCAGATGAAGCCATAGACTTTCTGCTGTCCAAATAGCTCAGATGTGAATTGTTATCATAATTAGAGAAGGAAAGACATGGTGGGAGGGTCACTGAACAGGAGCCAAAAGACCTAGGTTATAAAGTTGGTTCCAGCCTTTAACGGCAATAGTTACTTCAAGGCTTTAGTTATAGTGGGAATGTGCCTTTCAAGTAATTTAGAAACTTTAAGACATAAAAAATTTTAATTGTGGACTGGGTTTCATTTAGAATACTGTTTATTTTGGGAGGAAGTTTATTACCTACGTTCTGAGCAGCACTTAACTGTTTTCCTGATATTTTAATCATTCCTAAACCAGATGTCTCTACTACCATGAGAGAAGATGCTTATTAACCAGATTTCGGGTGTTGTTGGGATTAGTGTCCT